TAAATATTGTTAAGTTAGGTGGATAATTGTGCGGCAAAATGTTTCCCCAATTGGAATTGCACTAGTTTGTTGGCCTATACCCTGAAACTAAGTGCCCTCCATACAGATTACACTCCATTTGGAGTAATGTAGCAAGAGCCATCTATGGGCGATCTAACCTAAGCAAGGAATTATCTTTTATTCTAACTTCTCATAAGATGCGAAAGTTAAGACCTAAAGGGTTCTATATGCACATTTGTATGCTGTTGTAAACACAAAGGGTTCCGTGTGGCGCATTTATTGTAATGCGGTCATGCAACCCTCCGGGTCATGTGCATATAGGTAAGCAGCTTTGTGGTAGTGACTAAGTCACATAAAAGTTTATAGTAAAGGTGACGTGAAGTAAGTTTTCTGGAACTCTATAAGATGGAGTAATTCTCAAGCATAGAGCTCTATGTAGCCTAGTTGGAATTGGAAATAAATTTCCAATATCCTAGGGAACAGTGGGAGCGATGTGCCCTACTAATGGATTATCTCCATTAGAGAAGACATACTCTAATTCTTAAGTTGCGTGGTAGCAAATGTGAAAATTTCCACGTCATCACTGGGTGAATTGAGAGGGAAACATCATGATTGTCTCCGCAAGATGACTAAGAGCCTAGGATATATTGCCTAAGGCTGCTAGTCCCCTATTTTTTGAAAAAAAGTGGATCAATGTTGCGCAGTTATAGACAAACGTCTTTGAGGATTAACCATTTTTTTATAATTTGGTTGACTTTCCATTGTGACTCAAAACTTGTTATAAAGGTTATGCGTAATTTGGATAGTCATTGTTGAGGCAATAAAGGCTCGCTAGAATACCGAAAAAGGTCGCACCCATTGAGGAAGTGTAGACCATGAGAAGACTCCTCGCTGGGGAGTGAGGTTATTTGACTAGGCTATAATTGACATAAGTCGGACAGTGATTTGTGACATTGTGACCCGATTTTCTCATTAGAAATTGGATAAGTAGATCCGCTAGGGATTTACCCTTCTGCTTTACTGGTGAAAAGTAAGGAGCGCAGAAAAGGTTGCTAGTTCCAATAATCTTTTACAGCCCTAAAGGCAAGTTATCCATAACAGTGGTTTCTTAGATTTCCGTCAGCCATGTAGGCAACGATGATCGATGAAAGATCCACTGAGCATGATCAATGGTCCAAAAAGAAGTTTTCCTACTTAAGTCATTAGAGCCAGGAATTTAATAAAGGTTTGACGCCCACCTGGTGGGCAGTCCTCTATTTTAGATATGATGGCATGTGAGTGATGTAATTATATATGCTCGGATGTAGATCTCTTAGGATTGTTTTAAGGAAAAATTCGCGTTTGTCTCGTGACTTACATAGAGAATACTCCTAGAATGATTCTAGTGCAAAATTGTCAAATCCATTGACTTACGCTATCGGTAAAAAGCCAGAGCCCTTAGCTATTGAGTGAATTCCTCGATTGTCTTTGGAGGACCTATGATCCTTGATTTTCTTTGTTGTGGAAGCCTAAAGTACGCTAGTGGGCGTATTCGGCATGAAAAGTGTTATCTTTGGTAAATGGGTCAACTGAGTTGTTTAGAACATTGACCTGGCTCATTAGACGGCGGATAAAATGCTTATTAGAACATGATAATTTTGTTCCTTGGTAAAATTCAATGCGCTAGTTGAGGCCGCATCTGGCGCCTAGTTTGGGCCACATTAAGGATGAACGCAAATTGGTCCACCAAAATATCTTTAAGAGAGGTTTAATTGCGCAAAGAGGTACGTGATCTAAAGATCATTTCCAATGGTGAGGCCGCACCATTGTGGAGTCCGTTGTAATATACTTATCGGCAAGAGGTGCTGATAAGGCCCTTATTTGGAAGCAATTAATTGCGCAAGCTTGTGGTCAATTTTTTTTTTAAAAATCGATCAACTTATTTGGAGATATGGGATGTTGACACTATTATGGTTTGTGTCATAAATGATTACAAATGATGAGCAAGCAGGCAAGTATTGCTTCAACTCAACACGACAATCGGCCCTTGGCGCTGGAAGCGAGCAAGGATGATACTGTGGTTTAATTTTATTCGGAGCCAAGAGAGGCTTAAATCATCCACTATGTAATGTCCCGCCCTTGTTATAACCAAGATTGAACGTCGTGTTTAAAGGACCAAACATGGATGTAGTACCCACTTTCCGTGTTGTGCCTGTTTATGATTACGCTCAGATTCGAGATCTCATTGGCGCCTAGAAGGGAGCAATAGAAGAATTCCGGGTTAGCGCGCTAGAAAGCGACTAGTACCTAATACTTGTACGGGTAATCGAGTATGACGTCACTATTGGAAGCTACACCACCGTGACAGTATTCACTATAGTGCTTGGCGACCGGAGTAATGAGGTGAGAGAATGGATCATGCTTCCTCACGTGTAGTCTTACGAGTCATTATGTTTATCTTATACCCTTTGGTGACTTTGACTATGTCATAAGGTAAGGGGTTGATGTTCTGCTACTTTTGGTATGTTGCCTGCGGTCCATGCATGATTCGGCCTTAAGGGACTCACTTGGGAAGCGTCAATTTCAACTAAATGGCAGAGTGCAAAGGAAGGTCATCTATATACACACTGTTGTAATTCACTGCCCGGCAACTCATACGCCTGTTGAGAGGCCGAGAGTGTGAATATATGGCAAAGAATGAGAGGGTTCCAAACATGCTCTTTTTGAGGATTGAAGAATGTTTGTATGGACCGTGTAATTAGATGGGTCTGGGTATATGAGACACCATTTCTTCTTTTCTTTTGGTTGATGTTCTCTAGCTGGGCTCATTTTGAAGTTTCTAGTATAAGCTCCCACATGCAGGTGTTCTCACAGTCCGCACGGTGCAGTGGCTAAGTAAATGGAGATTGTTTTATTTTTTGGGGAGATTGAGATTGAAGAAGTGCAGTGTCCAACCATGTCCGAGTGGGAGATGTTAGAAATTGGCGCCCATGTGGCATGAACCCTTAGAACCTTTGAACGTCAATCCATGGGTTTTGAATTTGAATTCAAACCTATTTGGATAGCCACCAGGATATATTATCTCTTCATATCAATGATAGGATAGATGATATAGATATCAGATATTTATCCATCATTGTAACCAATGGATAAATGAGATAATATAATATAATCGCGTATATATGGTTATGGGTAAACCAAAGAGAGAAACAACGATGTGTTTGTTTCTACCCATAACTGATCTCTCTCCCCAAGAAACAACGATCAGTCATTTGCACGGGTTTGTGGGTGATTATTCACATTGTATATCACCCCACGAGGATGTAAACAAAAATTGAAGAACACTTCTCAGAGAATTTTTCAAAGAATAGCTGTGAGTGATTATAGATCAAAGAATATTTTCTGATTTTTTTGTCACTTGTTTACATTAGAGGCTTTGGTATATATAATGAAACTTATAGTCGTTTATAGCCGTTGTATTGATTTGAATTTATAATCGTTTATAGCCGTTGTATTCATTTGAATTTATAGTCGTTTATAGCCGTTGTACTCCATCATTACTAATTTGAATATCTTCCACTCCATCATTACAAATTTGAATATCTTTCACTTGAACCTTTTGAACCTTTTGGGACAAAATAAATTTTGATTCTATTTTTCTCTTTCAAATTAATCATCAAAATAAATTTTGATTATATTTTTCTCTTCCAAATAAATTAAAAATATAATTAAATAAATCATCAAAATAAATAAGTCTAACAATTTGGCATTCAACGAACTACTAGAGCACAAAGTTCAACCCTAAGGGGTTGGTCTCTTGAACACAACTTGACACTTGGGGGTGTGCTCTCTCTAGGTCTCAAGTTCAATACTTACTAACTACAATAATCTTTTTAGGGTCAGTCTATACAGGGTGTTTGTTCTGGCTTTAAATAGGTCCCTCACAATTGGGCAGTATGTTTGGTCTTCTATACTTACTAATAGGTAAACGGGGCCCTCACAAGTGGGCAGGGTGTTTGCTCTGACTTTAAATGGGGCCCTCACAGGTGGGCAGTAGGATTGGTCTTCTGTACTTACTAATCAGTAAATGGGGTTCTCACACGTGGGCGATAGGATTGGTCTACTGGAAATGGGGCTCTCACAAGTAGACAGTAGGATTGATCTTTTGGAAATAGTTGAGGTACATGTAAACTGGGCAATAGGATTGGTCTTCTATACTTACTAATTGGTAAATGGGGCCCTCACTAGTGGGCAATAAGACACGTGGGCGATAGGATTGGTCTACTGGAAATGGGGCTCTCACAAGTGGACAGTAGGATTGATCTTTTGGAAATAGTTGAGGTACACGTAAACTGGGCAATAGGATTGGTCTTCTATACTTACTAATTGGTAAATGGGGCCCTCACTAGTGGGCAATAAGATTGGTCTTCTGGAAATGGGGCCTTTACAAGTGGGCAGTAGGATTGATCTTCTGAAAATAGTTGAGGTGCGTGTAAACTAATTTGGGCATTCAATTATTAAAAAATGGTGTTTGCACTGACTTTAAATGGGATCCAATTATTAAAAAAGGATATTTGCTCTGACTTTAAATGGGACCCTCACAAGTGGGCAGTGGGATTGGTTTTCAATAAATAGTTGAGATGAACATAAACTGATTTGGATATCCAGTTATTAAAAAAAAAAAAAAAAGCACAAAGCTTAACACATGACACTGGATGTTTATTTATTTCTTATAATAATTACACATTATACCTATTGTTTGTAAATAATTCGAAGTTCTCCATATCTATTGTAGACCTATCAAAGCAAAGAAAATATTTATTGCAAAACGACCACTGATGTTATGTAGCTGCTAGCATCATTGAGAAAACGATTCAGATTCGGAAATTTCTTCTAACTCACTATCTAACAGCCTTCCCCTCATTTTTCCCCTTGTCGTCATTGGATTTGCAGAGGCAAATGGATTGGAAGGCATGGTCAGACTACCTCCATCTCCTTCCAACATTTGCACCACAACTTTCATCGATGGTCGGTCCATAGGATACCAATGTATACACCACAGTCTCACAATAGTTAGTTTCTTTGCAATTTGTGCATCTCCATCTTCATCAATCTGGATTTCTAGATCTTCTCCATGATCTAAACGGTTGTAAATCCATTCAGGAAAGTACACTTCACTTTTGTTTTGTGTGACATTATTATTCCTTACTCCAACCTTTTCTAGCAGCAGCATTCCAAAACTATATACATCTGATTTGCATGACACCTTTCCAAAATTTCGAGAGAACACTTCGGGTGCAATATAGCCCACTGTGCCCCTTGCAGCAGTCATGGATACCACACTTTGTTCCTTGGAACACAACTTTGCTAGGCCAAAATCAGAGATTTTTGGGTTGAAATTGTGGTCCAACAAGATGTTATGAGGTTTAATGTCAAAGTGAAGGATTCGTTGATTGCAACCTTGGTGAAGATAGTCAATTCCTTTAGCTATGCCAAGAGCAATATCATGCAGCTTCTCCCAACCTAGTGAATTCTTTTTGCGTTTAGACAATATGAACTTTTCTAGGGAATGGTTTGATAAGAACTCATAAACAAGAGCTCTTTTAAATCCATCCGCACAATATCCGACCAAACGTACGACATTGATGTGGTGGATTGTACCTATTGTTCCCACTTCATTGATGAACTCATCCCCATTTCCCTTGACATTGTCGAGGATTTTGACTGCAACATGAACATCATTGGATAGTTTTCCCTTGTACACTGTTCCATAGCCACCTTGGCCTATTTTGTCCTTAAATTTATTGGTAATGTTCCTGATGTCAGCAAAAGAGTATCTTGCAGGCTTGAGGGCTTTGTAATCCTCCAAAAATCTTTCAATCTTTGCCTGATCCTCTCTCTTTTTTATTATTAATCGAAGGACACAACATATTGCAATAAGGACACAATACATTGCAAAAATGACTGCTGCAACAAGAAACTTGTGTCGGAGTATACCTGAAATTTAAAACAGTCAAACTAAGAAAATGCTAACAACATAAATAAGGTGGATGGATAAATTCACCAACAAATGCTAGGTTTTTATTTATTTATTTATTTATTTTTAAAGACCTATAAACACTAGGTTGAGAAATAAATTGCTAAATTACACTCTCTTTTTTTTTATCAATTTCATTTTTTTGGGGGGGAATAATTGAAAATCAATGGTATTAAAGCTCTGTTCTCAGAGATATTAAATTGAAATGTTGGAGTATGTGTTTATTTTCCTTTGTTGTTATGTAAACTATTCTTGATGTATTTATTAATTAAAAGGAAAATAGTATTCTTATAGAAGTTTAATACATTATTTTTTACCATAATAATATGACTGTGGTATTATGTAATTAAATGTCATTTTAATGGACATTTTAATTTAATATAATAAGTCCCAATGTAGCTACATCAATCTATATAAAATTTTGAAATAATTACAAAAATAAATAAAATAAAATAAAAAAATTTCAAAGTTTGACCCTTGTAACAAAATAAATCTTGAGCTTTTAATTTTGTCAATTTAAACCCTAGTCTTTTACTTTGTTTTGAATCTACACGATCAACCTATTTTCGTTAAGTAAAACCAACAAAAAAGTAGTATTTTAGTTATTAAACACAACTAAGTTTAACCTCTCCTTATATTAGTCAATATCAAAAAATCAGATGGCAGCTAGAGAGAGAACTAAAGGAGGATGGCAACTAGTTATGTATGGTAAATAAAGACAAACTCAAAGGTATGAAGCTATGAAGGATGGTAAGGATATCTTCACTCTATTTGTTGATAACATACCAATGTCCATGAATCCAAAAGGACTGTATTCTTGGTTTATGTAGTTTGGGGTAATTAAGGATGTTTTTATCCCAAACAAAACAAGGAAAGCAACAAAGTCAAGGTTTGGATTTCTCAAATTTGATTGTCCAGTGGCACTGGATGTTGCGACTTAAAAAACAAATAGTATATGGTGTGATGACATGGTTCTCAAAGTAAAGAAAACAACTTTTGGAAAAGGATCTAGAACTGAAAAGACAATAGCCATAAGCAAGGTTGGTGGAAAGTTCAATGAAGATGGAGTGGATATGACTAGGAGGATGATCACAGGGAAAAAATCATACGCAGAGGTGTCAAGAAATGGAATCAAAGAGAGAATCAAGACTTAACTATCATGGCATACGAGGTGGGAAATGGGTGGTTATATGATAGTGTTATTGTTAAGCTGAAAAGCTACCATGCCTTCTCTAAGTTTCAAAACGTGTTCCATAAAAAAGGGTCTAAGGACATTTTGGCAAGGAAGAGTGGAGGAAGAATGGTTGTTTAATCTTTCGATTCAAATGCAATTATGAAGGAAATGCTAGTACTAATTGATGATTACCTTAAGGAACGGTGTGATTATGTCACTCAATGGAAGAAATGGATGTATTTGTAGCAAGAAAGAATGGTTTGGCTAAACTGCTATGGTGTGCCACTAAACCTATGGAGCACTGATGCGTTCAATAAAATTGGAATTTTATGGAGAGAGATGGTAGTCTTAGATGAAGAAGCCTCAAACTCTTTATCCTTCAAGTGTAGGCAGGTGAAAATTGCTACAAAAACTATGAAGTTCATCAACACAGTTGTGCAAGTGAAGTGTAGAGATAATTTCTATCCAGTAAGAATTTGTGAAGAGCAAGTCATGGTAACCAAAGTTACGGAATCACGTAATCATGTTGTGCATCTAAGAAGAGAGGAACTGTACAGCTCCAATGAAGTTAATGAGCATAATCTTGACAATGGAGATAGCAAGGAAGGAAAAGATGAGGGCGTGGACGGCAAGGTGCATGATGATGTGGACAAATGCGATGAAGTGGCACCTACCCAAAAGAATGAGCTGGAGTTTCAGTAGAACAAGTGTAAAAGGAAAAAGGAAGGATGGTTTATCTTCCTCAAAAGTGGAAGAGACATAGTGTGAGCTCATGAGAAACCCAAATGTTAGAGAAGCATGCAATGAAATCACTACAGGGACAAATTTGAATGCCAATCAGATTCTTAATAAAGCAAATAAGGAAGGGGAGTCAGAGGCCAACCCATCTGGGTTCATGATAAGCCTTAGTGGATCTGGGGGAATTGAGCCTGGAATAAATCTTGAGGTGGCTTTAAATGAAGTCCAAAAGGTAGGGGATTTTCTTGGGCCTAGAGGAGTTACTGATGGCTATACCATCATTCCCACTTACTATACCTTAGTGGATCTGGGGGAATTGAGCCTGGAATAATAATGAAGTTCAAGCCCAAATGGCTATACCATCGTTCCCACTTACTATCCAGCCCATACCTAACTCAATGAAAGTAGTTAGGGAGAAAAGAAGCTCCATAGCCTGTAGTAGTCCGTTATCTGCAAGGAGGCTCACTACCAGAAAAGGGAGTAAGCATACATAGAAGGATGGCTAAAGGAGAAAGAAGGCAAGAAAAGGTGGATCAATGGTAATGGGAAGTTGGAGCAAAGGTGCAATCTTCAGAGCAACAGTTACAACTCAGTCATCTTATGGGTTGAGTCATCTGGGTTGATCTGACATCGCACAAGCACACACACACACACAGCGCTTCTAAATGAAGCGCAAGCTAAGGTACAATTAGGCAAAGCTCTAGGAATTTGTTTTCAAAGAAAAGAAAAGGAATCCATTCGTAAAATCATAGAGTTAGAAGAAGATGATGTGGAAATAGTGGCTTAGAAGGATGTGGTTGCTCAAGATTAAGCAATTGCATCAGGTGAAATAAGGAGATTTGTTGTTGTTTTAATGAAGCTACTATCTTGGAATGTTAGGGGTTTGGGCAGAGCAGAGAAAAGGGGAAAGATAAGGAAGCAACCTAAAGAGAGATATTGATTTTGCCTTTATTCAAGAAATCAAGAAATCAGGTTTGTCAGCTGATTTTGTAAAGTCTTTATGGCCTACGGATGATTTGGATTTCATGATTGTTGACTCAGATGGGTTAGCTAGTGGGTTGCTATGCATCTAGAATCCAAATGTTTTCAAGCTTTCTCAATGTTGTAGCACAAGGAACTTCATCTTACTTTCAGGTGCTTCACTTCCAAATTTTGATTGTGTGCAAGTGAATGTGTATGCACCTAAAAAGGATAAAAGTACCTCCCAATGGATAAAAAGAATTATTTGGCTTACCCATGAATGGCGTAGAGGCCATGTATATATAATAGATTCATTATACAATCTAGGAAACGATATAAATAAGGAAACAATACTAAATAAGTGATTGACACAATCACAGATTATATACATAATACTAAAAATAAAAAGATTCTATGTAATCTAATTTTTATACTCAACACTCCCCCTCAAGCTGGTGTGAAGATATTTAACAATCACAGCTTACTAATGGATGACTGGAAGAAGCCGGAAAAAACTCAACAGCTAGTCTAAATAAATGCTTTAGAACAAATCTGGTAGTCCACTAAATAAAAAAGGTCAAAAAGTGCTTAATACATCAGCACCACACCCTAGAAAAGGAAAAAAAAATAGAGACTAAACTATCCTAGAAGAGCTGCCGAAGCATCTATGGCCAGGAAACACCCTGGTCGACAGCCAATAAGACACTAGTCAGCATCAAAGACTGAAGCTAATGCTAGGAGATAGTTTATGGTCGTGCCGGACTGTTGTAAAAACTGGTCGGAACTAATGTCGAAACAGTTTAAGGGGTCATGCTGGAGCGTTGTAGGAGCTAACCGGAATCAATGTCGAGACAGTTTAAAGGAGTCATGCCAGACCGATGTAGAGAACTGGATGTTGAACCAGCATGCGACACACACATAACTTATGATGTGGTGCTGAACGATGATGGCAATAGATGGTTAAGTGCGCCAAGTGGCGACTTATTAGAAAGTGCACTAAGGGGCGACTTTGGTGGTGCGCTAGAGGGGGCGACTTTAGTTGTACCCCAAAGAGAGCAACTTGGGTTGTGCGCTAGATGGTGCGGCTTAGGTGGTTCACATAGTATATCACCATGCTCACCATGATATAGGTATAATACCCTCCATCAAACTCAAATAGCTTTGAAGATAGAAACCTAATTGAGATTAAAATAAAGGGAAAGACAAAGTGGAACAAAAACACACAACAACAAAAAAAAAAATGGATTGCGAGTAAAAAAAATATGATAGAGATAATTGGGATAGTAATAAACTAGTGGATAGAGGAAGTGATCTCCACGAAATGATACAAAAACAAAATATAACAGTAGAATGGGTTGAGGTCTGGTAGGCGGCCAAGGCAAGGTTGTCGCCCACCGATGAAGCAAAATTACTAGGTACTTAACCTAGCTTTGATACCAAAAATGATGAAAAGAATTATTTGACTTACTCATAAATGAGGTAGAGGCCATGTATATATAATAGATTCATGATATAATTTAGGAAACGATATAAATAAGGAAACGATACTAAATCAGTGATTGACACAATCACAAATTATATACATAATACTAAAAATAAAATGATTCTATGTACTTTCAACACTTTCTAGATTAAAATCTAGGTTTGAGAAGCCTTGGTGTCTAAGGGGGATTTTAATGAAATCAAGAATTTAGGGGAGGGAAAAAGGTGTTCTAGAAGTGATAGGGGAATGAAGGAATTCAATGATTTCATTGAGCTTATGGAATTATTTGATTTGCCTATGCTTGGAAGGCAATTTACATGGTGCAATTCTTGTGAAGGGGGAAAATGAAGTAGAATTGATAGGATCTTGATGTCAATAGAATGGTTGAGGAGGTTTGAATTTAAGTTATGGGGTCTTCCAAGGGGAATCTCTGACCATTGTCCATTACTTTAGATGGAGGATGGGAGGGATTGGGGTTGTCACGGCCCAAACGGCCCCTATAGGTTTGGCATCATGATTGGCTGATAATTTGAGATTACCAAAAGCCTACTTAACAGTAATACAATAATAGGTGCTACGGAAGCCAATAATTAATAAAATATAATATCCAATGAGCTATGCAGACTTAAATGGAATAAAACAAACCAGTATATAGACATATATACATATGTCCATGTCAAGCTTAGGTACACAAAACATAATCATGACTTAGGAATTAAATCCCATTAACAAAATAAAACTAGTCATAAACAATTTCTAAAGGGTGAACTCTGAACCACCCAAAAAGCC